GGGGTTGCTGCCCATGGTGCTGCAGTGACCAGGACGATCGTTTGCCCTGGTTGTTTCGGTGGCCGGTGTGGCTGGCGCCATGGAGGTGCATGTCCCAGCGGTTTTTGCTCTGTGGTGGGTACCCCCACGATTGGTTCCGCCAGTGTGAGGAGGACCATTGAGACTTGTTGGAATCCTTCCCGGAAGTGCGCCAGGAGGTGGAATCATGAGTAGTGTGAGTGGGTCGGTGCGAAGTCGTGGCTCTGGGTGCAGGGGAGTGTCGATGGTGGGACCTGTGTCGGGGGGAGCGGGAGCGGAGGGAGACAGTGGAGTGGTGTGCACGTCGGGAGTGGTGGAAGTGTCGGGAAGGGGAACGTGACCTGCTGTAGCTGCGGGATCGTCGGGTGTCGTGTCGTCGGTGCGACTTGTTGTGCCTGCGATGGTGGCTGGTGTGGGAGTGGGAGTGTCGGTGCTGTCTGTGGCGGGAACGGGATCTGCGAGAGTGGGGATGGTGCCGAGTGTCCGGGGGAGGGTGGTTGGTTGAGGAGGTAGCGGCAGGAGCCGCAGCGGCAGCTTCGGGCGCGCGCGCCGGCTGAGGCTCGGGCGGTGAAGATGGCATGCTGCTCTGAGTCATGAAAGGCATGATGGTGCCAGGTGCCAAGTTGCCGTAATTGGGAGGGCCACCGTAGGGCATCATGGCCATCGGGTTGCCAAAGTTCGAGAGGCCGCCGTAGGGCATCATGGGGAAAGGTGTGAAGGATGCCGTCTGCGAGTTGGGTGACGGTACAAGGTTCATGGGCTGCGTCATCTGGGATGACAGCTGCAAGTTCGGTCCACAATTGCCTGGTGAGCCGGACGCGGTGCCGGTCGCAATGCTATGCAGGAGCGAATGCATCATGTCATAGAGCTGGTGTCCAGCCATCTCGCAAGGGAGAGAGAAGGTTGGAAAGGGGTGAAAACAAAACCACAACTGCGGCAAAAATGCGTCAATGGTGCAAATGCATGCGAGCCAACTTCAACCTGCGAATCGAAACCAAACAGAGGGAATTCCACCAGGGGACCGCCAAAAACCCCGCGGCAACGGCAAAAGTTTCCACAGAAATGCATGCGAGCACAAAGGGGTTCTCAGAGGTGCCTGTCAAGTGGCCTCATGAAAGTGCCTCATGTGGCTATGCCGATGAATCTGAACTGAACTCATCCGAGACGAAAGCTTCCATAAACGCCACGAATCGCAGAGTTGGTGTATGACCAACTCGTCACTGGCGCATGAAGCTTAGGAACCTGAAACCTCGTGGGTGCAGCCTTGCTTCAAAGGCAGGCAGTGCAGGCAGTGCAACGCGCATGAAACCAGCAGAGCACCATTTGGGTGCGGAATACCTTAAGACCTCAAGCTGCAGCCTTGATCGTGGTCAATCGCGCTGAACTGAACTGCAGCTTGAACTTGAACACTTGAACGGTCTTCCCCTCGCAGGGGGCTCCCGCATATGGCGAGTCCAGCCCACAGCGCCATGTCGGACAGGCCGTGGGTAAACACACTTATCTCGAGAGGCTTCACTAGCCGAGATGAAAAACGCAGTCAGTAAAAATGCTTGAATGCAAACGCAAATCAACAGGTCACAACATCGACACCGAACAGGAAGCAACAGCGACAAACAGAAACCGCAAAAGGAATTAGGAAAGAGGGTCAGGAAATAGGCAGGTACGCCGGATTGATCAGATCCGGTATCCACCGAAATGCCGTAGCTTCATTGGACTGGATAGGCAAATCGGCTCCAGTCCCCCTGCAATGTGGAATTTCCGTCCGTGCTCCAGGACGCTTCACACACACACACACACACACACACACACACATGCACCCACACAAACACACGCAAGCATACAAACACGCATGCCTTGCCAGTTTACGCCACGCTTGCGCGCTCGTGCGCTTGTGAGCATGTGGGTGTGGGTGTGTGTGTGGTGGGCATGTGGTAGGTGGCGCGCGTGTAACTGTGAGCGTGTGCGCGCGCGCCCGCGAGTACACGTGAGCATCTGCGCGCGTGCGTGTGGGCGCGTGCGCGCCAATGCGAGATGCGGGCGCGGCATGCGTAAAAAATAACTCTACACATTGTGTTACTGCCAGCCCTTTGGTTGTAACTAGAAGAGTTTCATTTCATGCACACGTGTGGGCGCGCGTGCGTGGCTGTGTGTGTGCGTGGGTGGGTGTGTGTGTGTGTGTTTGTGTGTTCGTGTGTGCGTGTCTGCGTGCATGCATGTGTGCGTGTCTGTGTGCATGCGTGTGTGCAAGGCTGCGCGTGCGCGTGTGTTCATCTGCTTGTGCGCATGTGCGCGTGCGCGTGCGCGTGTGCGCGTGCGTGCGCGTCGCGCGAGTGTGTCTGTGTGTGTGTGTGTTGGTGTATTCGTGTGTGTGTGTTGGTGTGTGTTCGTGTGTGTTGATGTGTGTTGGTGCGTGTTGGTGTGTCTGTGTGTGTGTTGGTGTGTGTGTGTTGGTGTGTGTGTGTGTGTGTTAGTGTGTATTGCTGTGTGTTAGAGTGCGTGTGTTGGTGTGTGTTGGTGTGTGTTGGTGTGTGTTGGTGTGTGTTGGTGTGTGTTGGTGTGTGTTGGTGTGTGCTGGTGTGTGCTGGTGTGTATTGGTGTGTGTGTTGGTGTGTGTTGGTGTGTTTTGGTGTGTTTTGGTGTGTGTGTGTGTGTGTTGGTGTGGGTTTGTGTGTGTGTGGTCGTGGTGGTGGTGTTGTGTGCGTGTGTTGGTGTGTGTGTGTGCGTGTGTTGCTGTGTGTGTGTGTGTTGGTGTGTGTTGGTGTGTGTTCGTGTGTGTTGGTGTATGTGTGTTGGTGTGTGTGTGTGTCTTGGTGTGTGTTGGTGTGTTGGTGTGTGTGTGTGTGTGTTGGTGTGTGTGTGTGTGGGCGTGTGGGTGTGGGTGTGTGCGTGCGTGCGTGTGTGTGTGTGTGTGTGTTGGTGTATTGGTGTGTGTGTGTGTGTTGGTGTGTGTTGGTGTGTGTTGATGTGTGTTGGTGCGTGTTGGTGTGTCTGTGTGTGTGTTGGTTGGTGTGTGTGTGTGTGTTGTGTTGTGTTGTGTTGTGTTGTGTTGTGTTGTGTTGTGTTGTGTTGTGTTGTGTTGTGTTGTGTTGTGTTGTGTTGTGGTGTGGTGTGGTGTGGTGTGGTGTGGTGTGTTGTGTTGTGTTGTGTTGTGTTGTGTTGTGTTGTGTTGTGGTGTGTTGTGGTGTGTTGTGTTGTGTTGTGTTGTGTTGTGTTGTGGTGTGGTGTGGTGTGTTGTGTTGTGTTGTGTTGTGTTGTGTTGTGTTGTGTTGTGTTGTGTTGTGTTGTGGTGTGGTGTGGTGTGTTGTGTTGTGTTGTGTTGTGTTGTGTTGTGTTGCGTTGCGTTGTGTTGTGTTGTGTTGTGTTGTGTTGTGTTGTGGTGTTGTTGTGTTGTGTTGTTGTGTTGTTGTGTTGTTGTGTTGTGTTGTGTTGTGTTGTGTTGTGTTGTGTTGTTGTGTTGTGTTGTGTTGTGTTGTGTTGTGTTGTTGTGTTGTGTTGTGTTGTGTTGTGTTGTGTTGTGTTGTGTTGTGTTGTGTTGTGTTGTGTTGTGTTGTGTTGTGTTGTGTTGTGTTGTGTTGTGTTGTGTTGTGTTGTGTTGTGTTGTGTTGTGTTGTGTTGTGTTGTGTTGTGTTGTGTTGTGTTGTGTTGTGTTGTGTTGTGTTGTGTTGTGTTGTGTTGTGTTGTGTTGTGTTGTGTTGTGTTGTGTTGTGTTGTGTTGTGTTGTGTTGTGTTGTGTTGTGTTGTGTTGTGTTGTGTTGTGTTGTGTTGTGTTGTGTTGTGTTGTGTTGTGTTGTGTTGTGTTGTGTTGTGTTGTGCGTGTGTGTGTGTGTGTGTGTGTTGGTGTATTGGTGTGTGTGTGTGTTGGTGTGTGTTGGTGTGTGTTGATGTGTGTTGGTGCGTGTTGGTGTGTCTGTGTGTGTGTGTTGGTGTGTGTGTGTGTTGGTGTGTGTGTGTGTTAGTGTGTATTGCTGTGTGTTAGAGTGCGTGTGTTGGTGTGTGTGTGTTGGTGTGTTTTGGTGTGTGTCTGTATCGGCATCTGTGTCTCGTCTGTGTCTGTGTCATCTGCTGTCTGTGTCAGTTGTCTGTCATTTGCGCGCTTGCGGGGGATTCCCAATCCTTAAAAGCAGAACGCCAAAGCCCTTGTGATGCAGCGCATGCGGGCCTGTCCTGGTGGCTGCTTGATTGCATTTGCACATGCCAGGCGCTCGCCATTCAAAGCTCTCATGCACGTGAAAAAGGGTCTTCGGGGACGCAATGTTGAGCTGCTGCTTTGTGATTACTTTGGAAGCGGCTCGGATTGCCTGCAAACAAACTCCTGAAGTCAACACTCAGATTTGCAAGCATAGCCTGTGAGCCGCAATCCTGTCAACACTGCAAGGGAAACAAAGCTGTTGCTGTATCTCGGACAAAGCTCATCGTGGATGCTGCACAATTCATGATTGACTATTATCCACGTCCCCAGCGAAACAGCGTGCAGCGCTTTGAAAGTGAAGGGGCTCATGCTCTTTGTGTGCTCGCATTGGATTAAATTGTCCTGCCACTGTACCTGGCGCTAGCTGTCGTAGGCCTTGCCATGATGAGACAGCTGACCAACATTGCGGCAGGAACAAGAATGTCAGAAGAATACGCAAGATACCCGTTGAGAGTTGCTGATGAGTTTCAGCAAAGAACAAGTGCCACATCGCGGCGTCACAGCTCAGACTGCTGTCAAGGTCACTGCATGGGGGAGATGAACACAAATGCACCACAGGCAGTGACCGTTCGGCCAGGCGTAGGCATCTTACTTTCCGTGCCTCATAATTGAAAAGAAATCCACGCTGGGAAAGGCGTTCTGGAAGTGTCGCAAAACTGCTGACAACACATAGCAAGCCTCTGCCGCAAGCAGGATGTAGAGTTAGGACATGTTGGTTTCTCTTCTGAACCATGCCTTCAAAGCAAAGCATAAAACCATCTTGAACATAAATCTCCACTCGCCGCTGGTCTACTCAGGCCAAGTCAGCCCCCTGGCCGGGTGCAGCGGTGAGGGAAAAAGCATCCCAGTAGCACATCCCACACACATCGCTGGCTCAGCAGGCCACCTGGTTTTCTACAATGTGGCAACAGACATGCGGGAGCCTCTGCTTTGTCGTCGTCATCTGCACTGGAATGAGCTGCTTCCATGTCAGTTGCATTCTCCTGCTCATGTACAAAGGCTGACAGGCCAGCGCATGTTCGCATCTCAATGCAGCTCGTCTGGCCTCGAAATTATGGCCGTAAAACGAATCCAGGGTGTCTGTCCACCAGCTGCAGCCTGGGTCAGGTCTAACGCGCTAGATTCAATGTGCGACTGCCACTGATTGTTCACTCCACTGGCTTTGGCTTGCCAATTGCCAATGCATTACTCTTAGCGCACTGCCGGCCATGTATGCATCCCGCGCATCAGTCGAAGGACCAACAATCTGCAAATGGCAAAGGCTCAATGCTGCGAACAAATATGTTGACATGCTCATGACATGCTTCAGCTCTGCCTCGGCAAACTCAGCCGGCAGTGGATGTTCCGCTGCCGACGCCGCCTCTGCGGTCTCTGCCGTCTCCGCCTCTGCCTTAGCTGGCGACACTAAGCTTGTGAATCTGATCAGCCTCAGCTTCTGACACTTTTCTCTTTTGTGGCCTGACAAAGACATGACAAGACCTCCACAGTGTGTGATGCGAAGCCTGCACTTTGGCCAGCTCCGTGTGCGCATGAGCATGAAGACACCTGCAAGACGTGAGACTCTGGCACTGCGTTCGCGCAGTTGGGCTGGGAAGGGCACAAAGTCACATTCAGCGCCGTGGGGAAGCTCGTGTCCACGATCTGGGCCAGCTGGCCCTGACCCGCGAACCCGCGAACCCGAGCCCAGCCCGGGAGCCCAGGAGCCCAGGACCTGCACGGAACCCGGGCCTTGGGGCTGGCGATCTGTTCCTTCCACTTCGCGTGAACTGGCCTCGAGATGGTTGACCTCTTAGCTGGCACTAGGGCCACAACACGATGCCTGAACCACTGAGATGGGTAGGAATTTTGATTCAGGACCCTGTAATGGATATTATTTTGGTGGGGATTCATGTCCACCAACCACTTTGGAGGTGGTTCCCTGTTAAAATCTATAGCTAGACGGTCGACCTCTTGCAGGCTGGCACCGCTCCGATGATGCTTCCAGAACCGAGCCCGGCACGATGCGGCCGCGCGCTGAGCACCATCCTGCCAGGGTGCACGTGAGCGGCACGAATTGAAATAACATGATCCCCTCCCGGCCTTTCCGGCATCGTACTTGAAGAGCAGTAGTCTGTGCTCCTCGAACAGTGCCTCCAGCGAGAATGCGTCCGACAGTTTCGAGAGACGCTGCTCCTTGACCCAGCAATTTGAGGAGCTTCCCAGCAATTTGAGGAGCTTTCAGCACTGCAGCATTTGAGGGGAAAACACACAAACAGCACATGTAAGTCCGTGTGCCAGCTTACTTGCTCAATCCTGATGACTCAATGAGAATAGCGCCTGCTTCTTGAGGTGCATCGCATCAACCTCCAAAGACTCTGCAGCTGCCCACAGCAAAGCTGCTTCATCTGCACGCCAAGGGCGGCTCTTCCACGGTGTGATCAAAGAAAAGGGAAGAAGGCATCAATATGAATGTGCTGATAACAAACCATGCAGATGCCTCGGCCCTCACCAGGCTTCCATCTGAAGAGCATCATGGTGTTCTGATCCCACAAGTCTGCCAGCCTGATATTCCCACCCACTTGACTCAGAAGTGTCGGTCGACACAAACGGGACTTCATGATCCTGGGGTTGCAGCCCATCATCCAATCCGTGCAAGTCACCAGGCAGATCAAAGGCCCCTTCCTGTCACCAAAACTTGTCTGCATGGCTCCTTCTTGCATGGAAAATATTTGAACAAAGGTGAACAAATGATGCGGAGATGTCTGAATGCACAGGGTTCTGGCGCAAGAATGACCCCCAGCCTGCACTGGATGTAGCATGATGTCCCACATCGCAACTGCACCACACACGATGCAGCAAGCCTTGGCCAACCCCCAAACGAGAGAAAATCAGCACACCCCAATGGTCCCACTGCGCCAGCCGAGCATGCTGCATGTCAAGCCCCCAAGGCGCCAGCCCAAGATCCTCTTCGCAGCGTCTCTCTCTGCTTGCCAGGAAGAGCCTGACCGACATAACACGCGAGACTCTGACTCAACCGCAACAACGCGCTCGCAGAGGCCTTGTCGCTATCGCTGCGGACAGTCTTAGAGATCAAGAGTCGAAGTCTGTCTCAGAAAGACATACCTCTACTTGTCAGAAAGCCTCTTGAAGGCGCCCGCCTGTCATAAACTGCTTTGCTAAGCTTGCTGCGAACAGGGGATCCAGCAGGTCAATCATCAGCTCTCGCCAGGACTGCCAGAGTGGGCAAGTCAATCAAGCGGCCATGCCTTCAAGAAGCCCGGCAAATCCTTGGACCACTCCATTTGGCTTTGATGATGATGATTCATGATGATGCTGATAATGAGCATGAGTATGCCCATGTGCACATGCCCCACTCGCAGCCTAAGCTGCTCACTTGCTTCATCAATTGCTGAACAGTACCAAAGAACTTGGCCTCAAAGAACGTGGCCACAAAGAGGCCAGCGAGGACCGCGGCCAGCGCCTGAACTTGAGCGCATGTTTCAGCCGGCTTGACTGCACAACTAAGCCCAAGTCCCACAAGTGCCAAGTGTTGAGATGAGGGAAGCATACCACCTGCGGGCGCAACTTACCACTTTGACCTATCCAAAAATGCGTGAGAGGAATCGCGGTGCAAATTTAGATATGCAGCAGGCAAACTCGAAGCTGCCAAGCACAAAGCTTTCTATGACAAGCGGTGCCGCTGTCGTTCTTTTACTGCCCCTTTGAGGTCAAGAGCACACACTCGCGGGCGCGAGGTCAAGAAACAGGCTGATACATCCAAAACGCCCCAAGGCTGAGACTCACAACGTAGCAAGAGATGCTTTGGAGGCTTGCACTTCATCTTGGGAGGAGTTGAATTCCACGCATGTGTGTATGTGTAGACACTTTCACCGCAAGGTCTGGGTGAAGGCCACACATGTTGAGTCAAAGCATCTCCGTAATTGGGAAGATTGAAACGCATCAATTGCAAACGAGCTGAAGAAGCATGAACATGCATATTCAAATAATGATAGACTAAAAGCAAATGTTTGCAAGTGACAACTGTACATGCCCAATGAAATTCGTCCAGAATCTGATTCTGGCACAAGGGCAAGCCGGCCACGTGACACTCACTTCGACCAGTACACCTCCCCAGAAAACTGCTTACAGCCACTTTGCCATCAAAAGCCAGCGGAGCGCAACAGTCCATCATGTTCCTGAGAGCTCCAGTCGACGCTGTCGAGATGCAAGGGCAATTCAAGACTGGGGTTGCCGCTTTCAGTAGGGCAGTGTCAAGGAGCCTGTCAAAAGTGCCAATCACAAGAAACACACTCTGATGCTATGCTTTGTCGTGCTCTTCTCCGGCATGAAACCTGCCCCCACACACATGTAGGGAGCGAGGAAGAAAGACAAAATCAAGATAACAAGGCGAGACAAGGAAGAAACAACAAAACATGCAAAAATGAAATAAAAGAAGAGAAACAAGAAAGAAAGGCAATAAAGAAGTAAGGAACGGAAGAAAAAAGCAAGGAAGGAAGGAGGGATAAAAAGAACGAACAAACAAAAGAAAGTAATAAAACAACAATTGAAAAAATGAACAAATCCCCAACAGCAACCCCTGAAACCCTTCTGCAACCTCAGCCTATCCAGCACCCCCTCCATCCAAACCTTCCAGAACCCATGGAACCTGATCCAGCGCCATACAAACTGCAGAACTTCTTGGGACCCTCAGCCAACGCTCCGAACCCCGAAACCTCCGAAACCTCCGAAACCACACAAAAACAAAGCAAGCAAGACAGACAAAAGACTAAACGACGGGTAGCCCCAACCGCACTCTGCCACCCGAGGCTGCTTTGTTTCTCCGAAGCATGAACCCACCAAGCTTAAGACAACCGCACACGCTGCAAAGACATGAAACGGCATGGTGGCGGCAAGGCGTTCTCTGCGCCAGATCCTCTGCGCAGGCGAGACAAATTTCCCTGAGCTTCTCAACGCGAGATCCCCTGAGCAAGTCTTCGCAACTTATCTGCGGCTTCTCCGCGCCACTTGCCTGCGCTTCCTGCGAAAGCTTCTCTGCGCGAGCTTGTCAGCGCGAGCTTGTCAGCGCAAGTTCTCAGCAAGTTTATCTGGGCAAGTTCTCGTCGCAAGGTCCACTGCACAAGTAGCTTCGACTGAAGTTCTTTCCGCAATGATCTCCACACAATTTCTGTCGCAAGTCTCTGCACATGTCCTTCTCAGGTAACTCGGCGCAAGCATCCCTGCAGTGCACTACTTTTGCAAAAAAAAGTTGCCATGTTCGAGCTGGAGCTGCAGGAGTGTACTTCGATTTCGATTTCTTGGGGCTGGAGCTGCGCACTTCACGCACCACTTTTGCGCTGAAAAGCTGCCGACGTAACTCCGCGGGTTGTGCAACTTTTTGGCGCAGATTCAGAAGCTGTCTCGCTGCGACCGGAATCGGCAGGGTTCAGGTCGCAGGCTTTCCATGCTAAAATCGTATTTTGTAAGTGCAGGCGCGGCAGGCGCGGTGCGCTCCTAAAGTAGCGCTCGAAGCATGCTAGCTCGAAACTATGCTGCAGGGGGTGCGCGATTTTGCTGAAAAGGCCTCAAAAGGCGAGTTTGGATCAACAGCTCTGAGCTGTTTCTGGTACTTCAAGTGATCTCTCACGCGCATCACAAGGATAGATCTCCGCGCAACTCTCTGCAACATCTCAACTCGATATCCTTTGTGCAATCACAAAGAAACATCTCTGCGCAACTCTGCAACATCTCGACATGATTGCAAGTCTTCTGAGCAAATCAAGTCCTCTGTGCCAACTATCTGCGTACCTCTTTGCTTGCTGTCTCTTTGCCAGAGGCGATCTTTTCTTTCTGTGTCGCTCCGTCTGCTGTCTCTCTGTGCAAGCAGCAGGCGATCTTGCCGAAAGAACCCTTCGCACTGCTTTCGGAAAAGCAAATGAATAAAGAGCAAGAGAAGGAGGACAGAAAGACTGAAAAAGAGATGTAACAAAGAGGGAAGAGAGTGAAAAAGAAACATAGATAAAGACTGCGAGAGAGTAAGAGAGCCAGAGAGAAGAGAGGGAGCGAGAACAAACAACTAGATAAACAAATATACATAGAGAGACAAAGAGAGAAAGAAGAAGAAAGAAAGAAGGAAGAAGAAAGAGAAAGAAGAAAGAAGAAAGAAGAAAGAAAGAAGAAATAAGAAAGAAGAAGAACAAAGAAGAAGAACAAAGACGAAGAACAAACCAAGAGACACAAAAAGTGAAAGAGAAACATAAAGTCAAAGAGATAATAAGAAACCAAATACAATACCAAAAATAAGAGCAAGAAGGAGGGAAAAGCACAATTTGACAAACCAACAACGCGAGGTGATGGAGAGCTGGGGGAAAGAGAGGGAGAAGAAAGGAAGGGAAGGGAGGAAGGGAGGGAAGGAAGGAAGGGAGGGAGGCAAGGAGGGAAGGAAATGAGGAGAAAATTCAACAGGAAGACAAAGAGGATAAAGATAGACAAACAAAGACAGGAAGCGGAAGAGCAAGGGGGGAAATTAATGAAAAAGGCAAAACAAGATGGGATGGAAAGATAGAGAGAGAGAGAGAGAGAGAGAAAGAGACAGATCGAGAAAGAATGAGAAACGGAGAAACAGATAGAGGCGGACAAGAAAGAAAGGAACAAGCAGCTTGGGGAAGATCACATGTTGATGCACTTGCTTGCGGTTTACACATTGAGTCTCAATGGCCTCTGGAATAAGCTCGTCGTCATCAGTCGACAGGAGGATCGGCAGACTGGCACAAAAAGTAGCAACAGTGCCATCTCTGACATAGTACTTCAAACCCAAAAGATGTGTTCCCTGCTGGGCAATATACAAATCCAGTCAACCTCTCGAATGTCTCGGCACAGCCTTGACTTTGGCTGCTCTTGCGATACCGCCTTGCCGGCAATGGGCTGGGGGCCCGAGCTGTCACAAGGCTGAGAGTTGCCACAAACCAAGAGCCGAAAAATGGCACCAACCCAAGCTTCGACTTCCTGGAGTCTATGTTTACGTTCACTACAATAAGTGACCAGTCAACGTGCTTTGCGCTGAAGGAATGGTTGCTGCACGCTCGCCATGTCTGTTCAGGGTCGATTAAGTTCGAGTTGAACATACTATAGACCTGTTGCTCTTGCCAGTGCGTTCGATTCAGCTAAGCAGACCTCTTTCTGACTGCAATCTGGGTGTCGAGGCATACAAACCAATTGACAAGGCGCCGCAGCACGCACTCACGCACCCATGCCACAGGCATGCACGCACATGCATGCACGCACATGCATGCGTATTTGCAAATGTGGATATGTCGCTAAGAGTTGCTTGGGGCTGCAAATGCTACATGCTTTCCGGGGGGTTGGGAGGGGTGGGCCAGGTGGGGTCATGTTTCCTTTTCTCCCGAAGGCACACAGGCTCCCTCCCACGGTCAAGTCAACCAAGTGCATGTTTGAAACTGCAAAGTCCGGTTTGACCTGCGTTCAACTCTTAATGATGTAATACCGATATGTATATGATTGTGTGTATCAACATTTACACACATCATACGCGCATGGACATAAAACACAGCAATAGCTCTGGTGGGACGTGCTTGTACAAGCGCCGCCGTTCCTTCCATCATCTCTTTTCTGACCTTGGGATCCTTCTCTTCGCTAGGTTGGTCAGTTCTGAGTCGTCTGCGCGCAGTTGACACTCGCAACCCGAGCCTCGGCCAGCCACAGGACCCCGCCCAAAACGTAGTAAGAGGCGATTCCCACGAAGATGCCAGCTGAGATTGAGTACCTGCACCAAAGAAACACGGCGATAAAAAAAAGCTCGGAAACACGGGATCGATGTTGTAAGCAGCAACGAAGCTAAATATTCTGGCTCACGCCAAGGGCGTGATGCAGATCGTCAGGAAAGCAGGCAAGGCCAGGCGCAAGTCGCCAAAGTCAATGTCTTTCACCTCATCTCAGAACACAATCCGACACGTCTCCGAGAGCCGAGAACTTGGCATCCAGCGGGACCCATCATCATGCTTCCAACCAGCACCAAGCAAGGTGCGGTTGCCTGGCAAACTCTGTGTTCGTGTGCGGCGCGCACGCGGCTGTGCTGCAACAATGTCTTGTTTGTTCGTCTGGCTTCTATCAATTAGGTTTGATCCTCGGGTTTCATACTTTGAGCATGACACTGCTGTTTGCTTTCTCACATTTGCTGTTGTGTGCGTTCACAATCTCAAAGGCGGGCAAACAAGCGAAGCAGACCTACGGACCCAGCCAGTGGCCATAATTCTACAAAAAGGTGCCAACAGCCTGCTCTGGTGCCAAACTTGTCAACGGCTTTGTTCAGATTCCTTGCTTTTCATTTGGTTTGGTTTCCTTTAGGCTCCGGGGTTGCCCATTTCTACAACGTCATATGATGAATCTCATGATCATGGTCTGATGACTGAGGCTGTCCTCAGGCGGGATGAGCTCGATCACTGGCACAAGAATGGGCGATACCAAGAAAAGTACCGCGGTGGTGATGGCGCAAAGCCTCGATGCAAGGGATCGGACTCAAAGCTGCAATGCGCACCTCTCATTCAGGAAGCACCAGGCTGAGACCGCCGCCCTGTTCGGCCGCCTTCTTGAACTCCAGCGGCCGACTCATTGTGGATGATGACCTGCGATCCGTTGTTTTTTCCCGCTCTCCCGCTGCATGGCCCCTTTTTTCTGGGTCTCCCCACAGGGCTGGTGCCCATCACAGCTCCCAGGCCAGTGCCAAAGGCACTGCCCAAGTAGCCGTACCTGCGAAGTGCAGCCGCATCTTCGGGTAAGACTTGAGAGCAGGGCGCTTCGCTCCAGGCAGAAAGCCTCTGTTGTCCAGGAGTCCAGCCTGCAAAAAAGCTTGCTTGCCAAGGCCCAAGATATCTTGTGCACTTGAAAGAACAGCTAGGGCCTGCCATTGAAACCATACCGCTGCAATGTCTACATATATATATATATATGGTCCCGTGTTCCGTGTTGCTACCCCCCCCCCCCCCAGATGGTATGGGTCCCCCAGGAGCCCCCCCCCCAACCCGAGACCCCGAGCCCCCGGATCCTGGCACCTACGGTCCCACCCTCACCCCACCCCCTAAACTCGCACCCCGACACCTCGGCACCCCCACCCCAGGACAAGCCAACCCGCAACCAACCATGAACCAACCCTAAACTCACCCTAAACCAACCCTAAATACACCCTAAACCAAACCTTAAAACGTAAACCTCTAAACCTAAACCAACCCTAAACCAACCCTAAATCAACTAAACCAACCCTAAACTAACCCTAAATACACCCTAAATACACCCTAAATACACCCTAAATAAACCCTAAACCAATCCCTAAACAAGAAACCCTAAACATAAACCAACCCTAAACCAACCCTAATACACCCTAAACCAAACCCTAAACCAAACCCCAAACCGTAAACCTCTAAACCGAAACCACCCTAAACCAACCCTAAATCAACATAAACCAACCCTAAACCAACCCTAACCCTAAATACACCCTAAATACACCCTAAACCAATTCCAAACCAACCCTAAACCAACCCTAAACCACCACAACCCAACCACAGGACCACAACCACAGGGGGTACTTGCCTGACCCATGACCATTGGGGTGGGGGTGGGGGGGGGTGGGGGGGGGGGGGGGGGGGGCTGGCAACGCTGTATATATATATATATATATATACGTATATTCATACTCATTGTGCTGAGAAAATGCAAAGTTCCGGTCAACAGATTCTTGCAAGGAGGTAGCTGCATAATGTGTTGGCAGCATGGAAGGCCAGCAATGCATGCCTGCTGTCCAATACCGTGTTGCACCTTAGCATGCGCTGACTGCAGAAAGTTTGGGCTCCTTCAAGCCTTCAACATGCGCGCGGAAACTGAGATGAGCACGCCTGCGGTGTCAAACACAACAATAAAAAGCAGGCACAGGACCGCCGTTCCAAAGTCCTTCCAGGAGGTAGCTCAATTGAGTCATGATGAAAACCTTGTGTTTAAATGGTCTACCCAGAAACATGTAAAGATAAAAGAAGGCGGCCGCAGCTATTTGTGGTTGGGATTGTCCCTTGCTAACCTTCATCTACCCGGGATTTGATTGTGGCTCAATTAGAGACACCCCGTGAAGCAAAGCAAACGCGAAGCACGTCCTGAGGCTTTTCAATCATCGGAGTGAAGTCCAAATCGAAGATGCGCGGCAAATCGGCGCCTTGGCAGACGGCCCTGTCTGACACAGCCGGCTGCGAACGCGACGGAGCAAAGCACTGGCCGTTATGCATCTGGCCATGGGTCAAAATCTACCGTAACATTTTGTGGTTCTGTCCACATCAGGGTGATATTGGACGCCCCAGTGAACATCCCAATCTACACCTACCCCAAAATGGTACCATTGGTTTTGACCCACGGCCATCTCTATACTCGCAAGAAACCACTGAGCCGGCCACCCGCTGAAAGGCCGGCGGCAGGCTGAGCGCACACAAGCATGCACGTGACGCTCTGTCAGAATGGAGGCAGTGGGCCTGGTTGGGGTTGGGCAAGCCAAGCAGGTGGGAGGCCACCGCTGTGAAGCAAATGCCTGACCCAGCGACCCAGTGACCCAGTGACCAGGGCAAGGCGGTGGCTGGCCCATCGCGCCTAGAAGCAAAGCTCCGGTGACCTTCCGAACCAGGAGGCCGGCGACCAGGATCGTAGCAGTGAAGGCCAGCCTGGCGGGCAGTAGTTCCATCTCCCAGTCTCGGAAGCAAACATGCCGCAGCGGCCACAAATTGGGCTGGGATAGATCACCAAGAGCCTGAGTGAAATCCACTCAAACCCAGGGTTGCCAAACAACAAAAGCTTGATCCAGCCCAGGCACAACCAGGGTCGTGTCGCTCTTCACCACAAGCCCCATCAGCTGCAGCCCAACAAAGGCCTCACTGCAAGGTATAGCTGCAAAGCCTTGGACTTCTGCCAAATGATTACCCAACGCAATGTCGCTGGGGAAACAAGGCAAGGTGCTGGTGACCAAAATGAACAAAGGCAAAGGCGGCTACGCGACCACGACCACAAACAGGACCACGATCAGGACCAGGACCAGGACCAGGACCACGACCCCCACCATCGCCACGGTCACAACCACAACCACCAAAACCACTACGACCACCACAACGACAACGACAACGACAACAACAACCTCAAGCAGAATGAGCCGGCAGCAGTAGCGGCAACAACTGCAGCCCTCCTCCACGGCAGCAGCAAGACGAATATTGCGATTGGCTAACGGAGGTGACAAACACTCTGACTACACTGCAGTACATATTTATGACGGCGAAGCAACAGCAGTAACGGTAAACGCATGCGTGGTCCGACATGAAATCATCACTAGACACATGCACACATTGGAGAGACAAGTTGGACGTCAGCTCCTCTCTAACTCACTCCAGCCTGAAACACGCCGATGGCAACAGTGATGGATGACTTCAAGCCGTGCGGCAGCGCGCCTTGCACCTTAGCACAATTCGAAACAACTGCACCAAGCTGCTGCGCTGCAAAATGGCAGTCACTGTATATGCTACATGCGCTGCATGGGGCCCATGCTCTGTCAACCAATCCGCTGGCTGCCAGCAGCCCAAAAGCCACCGCCTGTCCGGCTTGCAGTTTGTCACACCCCAGGGCCGGTGGCGCTCTGCCTGCATGAAGCAGGCGGCCAGGGCTCCCTCCGGCCCGAGGCCAAGTCTGTCAATGATGCCATAGCGGAGATAGGAATTCCTGGCGACAATTCTTCACAAAAGCAGAAGCAGAAGTTGCACCGACTCTAGCTGACACTGGTCCATTAATTGGTTCATCATCATCATCATCATCATCATCATCAGCAGCAGCAGCAGCAGCAGATAGAAAACTGATGTTCTGATGAGCCAGTCCGCCTGACTACGCAGCACACCCGATAAATGGCCAGGAAGGCAGTCCCATACCAGCCGCCAATCCAAAAGGAAGGTTTGCAGCAAGTCCTGCCAGCAAAGCTCCTTTCGAGCAGTCCATCAAATACATGCAGTGTCCTACAAATCCGGAAGCGAAAGCCGCTGACCTGCGGGACCAATGGCACCAAGAAACACATATGTTGCAACATTTGGAGAATGGACACCTAAATAACCAAGTGAGCCTGTTGCTGGTGACTTGTAAAGTTGTATTTGCCTACTGCCTCCAACTTGAATTGTGTCATTCCTGTGATGCCTTCCTCCATGTTGGGCAAGTGGAGTGTCGCAATGACCCTTTGCAATTCACCTTGCTGTGAATGTTTTGAACGTGAGTGTTTGAGATTGAGCCGCAGCCAGAGCTGTTGGAGCAAAATGTGCAATATCATACAATAATCGGTTTGCCAACCAGCAACGCCATACATCCCAAATCAGGAAAAATCGAAAAGATGCGACCACAACAGCAAAGCTGCGCAAGGGTGAACCATGTCCAAATGATGACCTTCTTGGCTTGGACACTATCATGCTGCAAAAGTCGCAACATGCCGACTTGAGGACGGACGTGAACAAGAGATAGATTATCTTGAGTATCCAACTCTCCATCAACACTCATTCTTCTGAGCTTTGAAGCCGATTCGTGGAAGTCTGCAAGTAAATATGTTGAAACAGCGGTCCGCCCTGGCGCACTTTGAACCCATTGCCGGAAAACGTAGTTGATGCTTCCATACAGCAGTACCGCGACCCTAACTAGAGCTGTTAATGTACCAGGCCAATTGATATGAACTTGGGATTTGGTCTCCTGTATGTTAGCTCAGTTCTTCTGCTCTACACTGTTTTTAAGTTGGGCGTGTCAATAGCCGGCTTGACGCCCCGCTCACATTTGCCACAAGAACAATTTGATCACCACGTGCATTATCTGAAGAAAAGCGAGGTAATTGGGCGTATTCTCTTCACTCATTACATTGGGCCTTTCTTAAGCCAACGGCTTTCTGGAGCCTTTCAAAACATCTGGGGCTCCCGCAGACACGTGGCCCTGCAAGCAGCGTGGAAGGAAATCGGAGAGCCTGGGTGTGAGCACATCCGAGCCATTCTGCCACTCAATACACTCGTGAGATCCCGCATTCAAGCCAAGTTGAGGCCAAGAAGCTTCCATCCTCAAATCTGGCGCTCAGAATGATGGGGTTTACGACAACAATGTAGCTCATGGTGACCTCGGGTTGCTATGGGTCGCATCAAAATGACAAGAAAATTGATCTGAAGCTATGTCTTGACTGGGCACACGACCCATGTCACCAGGCCGGCTCGGATTTCCTGTCCTTGTGCATATATCAGGCATCAGTCTCTCAAGCCATAGTTTTGTCGCCCAAGCTTCACACCGACGCTGCTGCCTCTCTCTGTTACTGTGAAAGCAGCCTCAGCAAAAAGAAGGGTGATGGAACAATTTTGACAGCGGTCCACACCAAACGATTTTTTGCTACTGATCTGAAAATTGCGGATAAACAGGCGTCCAAAGATGCGCGGCTTCCCCTCCCTGACTGGCCTTCTGAAAATGCTGGGTGTCTGGCATCCAGGTAGGATACAACTGCTTGAAGAGGTGATGTCTCCTGCGACCTACCCATGCAAGCAATCCATTGAGTTTGTTGTACTAGAACTGCCTTCTCGCTTTCACGCAGGGCTCCACCCGCTGCCTGAGTGCAAGCTGCTGCAAGCAACTTGCTGAAATGACATCTGGGTCCCATGCGTCGAAAGCAAGGGCTCATGGTATTCGCCCATGGCAGACATGAGCCTCAGTGTTAACTGCTCGGATTCAATCAGAGGGCGCGGAGCTCGTGCAAGTTGCATATGCGAAAAAGGCGATTGGCATCTTGGCGAGATCACGGTTGATTCATCAGCTGCCCCATTCTTTAATTTCGCGTTTCAATTGTTCTCGACGCTTCGCAACGAGCACGCGCCTGGCAAGGGTGTCACCACATGGACTTGAGCCACAACGTTGCGACGTGCTTTGAGAAACAGGAGACTTGGAAAGGAGAATGCGCCATGCCTCCAGGCAGCCGGAATCAAGGATAGCTTGGAAGGCAAACTGATTACCACGAAAACACCGGCAGCAAAACCAAGCTTGTCAAGCCAGATTGCAGATCACTTCCCCGCATGAAGCCATCCCAGCTCTGGGAGCGTACCAAGGAGACAGATGCCACGACGTCCAGCCTTGGACACATAGAGTTGATTTCACCTCCGGCCCTTGTGCTTGTTCTAAAGTCACTTTCCGCTCAACTGGTGGTCTGAAATCCTGGCAAAAGACATCAAACAAAACAAGAACATGAACTGATGACCGCAGGGTCAATCCAGCTGCTTGGCTTCCAAAACAGCTGCTTAGAAGCCAAGGCCTAGTATGGCTCACATAGGACATCTGAGGCCTGGACACCAGACAGGAAATGACCTCTGCCGACTGTGGAGGCAGCGCAGCATTCCCCACCTCCGACGATTTGTGGAAGGGCCTGCAGACCCCCTTTGTTGCTTTTAAATGTAAGAGAAACCAGCGAGAGAACTACCACTCTCACAAATACCCCCCTCCCCCTCAGTCAGGACCTTGGATGGGGAGCGCCCACACGCGGCGACCGCGGCCACATATGCGACGGCAGCTACAAAGTACACAAAATTCTGCCACAAGTACCTGGCTCAAACCGCGGAGAAAACGTCATGCTTACTCATGGCGCGCCCAAAGTCCCTGGCTTTTGTTCTGTTTCTCTTGATTGGAGCCTTTGGCAAACATCATTTTGGCATGGGCACGCATGGCCAGGCGAGTCAGCCAGCGCCAGGACGACACATAGCTGAGGTCCCAAAGCTGCAGCCTGCATTCGCAGCTTGAAAGGAAAAACAAACGAATGTAAACCAAATGAGCCATCGCCCTTTCAGTGCTTTGGGTGAATAATCACATTCCAAAAGCACGTGCCGACTTCGCGATGCAGCCCGAAGCATTGGGTATGAAGCACCAGTGAAGCTGGAAATACATCCACGACCAGGCCCTTTCGATACAGTGCACGTCCGAAGTTGCACCAAACACTCGAGCAACGATCTGTGCACTAACAGCTTGCCTCCTGCGCTGCTGCCTCTGCTGCCGCCGATTGCACTGCGGGGGTAGCATCCTCTCTGCACGAGCATGTGGAGCATGCGACATTGCATGGCGGGTTTGGAATCAAGCCAAACGCTGGTCACCTTGCCCCTCCACTGTCTCCTCGTTCTTCTTTGCATTGGAGAAGTCCAAACCTGTCGTGCTTGTGGAATGACAGTGACAACGCCTCTGCCTCAGGCAGCCACGTCGAGCAGCCACCAGTGCATGCGGAATGGCAAAGCCGATGGCCTCAATGCCAACACTCCAGTAACAAGGGCTTGGACATCACATGCTTGAGAGGTTTGCCGTGCAAAACTTTGCGGCAGTTCGACATGCCCTCACCTAAGGCCAGGTCAACGAAGCACAGGCAAAGCTCGCACGCGGTCACCGAGCCCTTGCAGCAAGCGTGAAATGCGATGAGTGCCCAGTGCCCATCCAGCACGAAAGGCCTTCATCAGGCCCATGGCAACGCAGAGCAGGATGATGCTGGCAGCTTTGCGCATGGCACTCCCAAAACGGCACCTCTTTCTCTCCCTCTCTCTTCCTACACCACACACCCAAATTTCACACCGGCCAAAATACTTTGCTGTGCAATTGAGTCATGATGTGACCCCGCCAGGTTGCGGTTTGTATGCAATTAAGCATCAGAACACAGCTGGAGCGCGCCTGACAAACAGCCCTATGCAGCTGAGAGTGTGGGCCAAGGCCAATCCGTCGTGCAACCTCAGCAAATGAGCATCTCTAGGAATGATGACTGTATATGGGCGTGATTTTTATTGGGGGACCTGTGGTGGACATCATTTGGGTAGCACCACTTTTGAGGGGGTCCTCCTGTAAAATTCGTAGCCATATGTTTCAGGTACATCAAGCGCAATCACATCCGCTTCCAATTGAGCTTGCGCAAGGGGCCGCACTTTTCAGATCGAAGAAGGCGGATAAATTGATTCACCTGCACGTCATTGCCGTCCATTGGCAAGCCTTGCAGACGTCAGGAATTAGAATCGGCAATGCAAAACCAAACCCATGTGAAGAGCAAACGAAAACTAACTGCCATTTCCATCCATGGCAAGTTTGCAGAAGCCAGCTGGAACGGACAGCCTGCTACTGTCCACCAACTGATCAGCTAGCACACGCAGGTGCTAATGTAGCCAAGCCGAAAGAAAGTGTTGTTCCACGCGATCATGTAGATCCAATCCGAAGCAAACTATGTTGAAAGCTGAAGGCATGACAAAACGATGCGCGCCTTTCGCATCATCATCAATGATGCGAATTGCAGCGGTGGAAAAACCTGCTGCCCACCAAATGCCCATGGAGGCGACCTAGAAACAGCGAGCTGGGCCAAGTCGCAAGTCAAAGAATCTCTGAGATGCAGACTGCCAGGTTCTCAGTCCAGGAAACCCAAAATGGCAAATGCTCTGTGTATCCCTCGTGGTAACCTGGACATTGCAGAGGCCAGCGTACACAAATATACATTGGACGTACCTTCGTACCGCATGGCACGCGTGTGGATGGCAATGAAGAGGGAATACACCACCTTGGTGGGCAAAGTCTGGTGGCAATCTTTTGATGATACATGCCTGCAAGTGAAACTAATACAGTGACCTATTCCAGGTCGCTTGCGACACTTGAGCGGCGCCAAAAATCCACTGGCAGTTGGTTCTACCAACACAGTTAGAAAAGTTGCACATAGAACCAGGAAGAATACCCACCCACTGGAATGGCTCACAAGGGTTTTGGACGCTGCTCACTGCATGGTCCCCAACTGCCCAGCAATGCGCGGCTCCCGCAGCAACCTCGACATGTTCAGCAAACAAGTAACACCGCTGGCCGTTCTGGCTGCTGCTCCCCGAAGCTTGCTGAGAGAAGTGGAAACCAACCAAGCTGTTAAGCCCCCAGCCAGGACTAAAGCGTTGCTGATGAAAGCATGTTCTGCCCTCTCCATCCATTGCAGCCACCCAAGCAAACTGCCAGGGCATGACATGCAGCACCAAAGTATCGCACAGTATCTGCACATTGATTGCAGATCATCAACACTAGTTGCTTGACAAGCATGCGGCACGTGCAAGTGCCTCCTCACCGCGAAATATGCAAGCGGCTGCATTGTGGGTGCCTTTCAAAGCCGTCCATCTTTGCCCGTGACTCATCAATGTGTCAAGCAATATGTGTTCAACCAGCCTCTCCTCAAAACTTCACCCCGCTTTTCAAAGGCAGCCTGCCAATTCCAACATGTCAGGGAAAGCAGACTAGTGCCTCTGGAATTGTGCAATCAATGCGGTCCAGGCCTCTCCTTCCTTGCAATTACGAAGGTACTGCAGGAACGTAAATGAAGTGAGGCAATAAGCTTGTTGAGCCGATGTGCAGCCAACAACATGTCATGAAATCACATGCCACAACGTCTTGACTTAAGTGATGGTTGGCGAATTACCGATGCATATGAAAGCCATTGCACATGCAAAAGCATTTGCTATTGCGGTACTTTGCGAATCGCGCGTCTGGCTTCCATCTTGAAATCAGACCCAACATGCACAATCAAAAGCAACCAAGCAGTCAAGCATGACCAGTAGAGCCAAAAAAATCAAGCTATAGTTCTACATATCGTTGTGTTCTTCATGTTGTCTTGCTGTTTGCCATTGTTTTGTTTCCTTCTTTCTTCGTTATCTAAGTTATCTATCTTCTTTCTCTTTGGCATCGCTCAGATTTTGCATTCCTTCCGCCTGAGCACTCCCGACTAAAAGATACCCATCCAACCAGCGCACGCCTGTTCTCTGGCCATTTCCAAGGAGCCACGTCCAACAGAACTCGAAAGGCTTGAAAGTGAAATGAATTTCCCCTGATTATTCAATGGGCAACTCCTTGGAAGCTTCAGTTGACAGCCTGCTCCGCCCTCAGCTTCGCTGACGGGCGAACCAACGCGCCCTGGTTCGATTGAGGCTGTGAATCCCCCCAAGGAGAATGTTGATCACTTCGTATTGCTATTTGCGTATTGTCAGTTATCTCTCTGTTCTGATCTTGCTTCAAACATGTGGGGGATCCACGGCCTGTTGCCAAGTTGCATTGGAGGTGTCCTCCCAATCGATTTCGCCGGAGTGAAGAGGACTCATCACCTAGGATTGGCTGTCAAGCCTTTCCGCTGCGCAACTGCCATCAAGAACCCCGACCTTGGCCTAACACTGCCGGGCAGGACGTGCCCACGCCAACATGCGTGCGATTTTACAAATTACAAATCGCTGTACAAATCTGCGGTCGGAGCTGGGCAACGGACTAGCTTCAAAAAAAGAAGAAAGGCCATGAATGGTGTTCAATTTTCCAAGCACAGTTTCCCATAAACGCTCTTGGTCCAGTAGCCTTCGGCTCCGCCGGGCAACACGCCTGTCTCACAACTCGAGCAGCATCAGATCGGCTCCGGGGGGCTCTCGCTAGATTCGCCCGGAAAGCGAAAGCTTGCAATAGAATGGACACGCTTGGCCATGTTATACCTCGGATCACTGTGAGAGCCCCCGCAATGAAGAAACCAGAGGTCCCAATGGCACAGCCGCAGCGCGTCCTTCAGCGCACAAAATTTGGAACGCGCCAAGTCGTCCAGGGCGACTCTCTCAAAAACGGTGGCAACCGATTTGCCAAAGTGCAACCTGATGTCTGTTGACGTCCTGAACATTTTCACGGAGTTGTGACTGGATCAAGTCGATTGCCACCGTTCCGTGGAGGATGCCTGCATTGAAAGCGATCCCCAAGTCGTGCAGTTGTGATTTGGCTGCAAGAGCTACAATAAAAATCCAACACACAAATTGCAGAGTAGGCAACGCTGGTGCTACTGTAAGCAACCTTAGCTTGTGGACGATTTACTTGCAGTACGTAGGGAATCCACACAAAATGCCAACCGAATGCTGTACTTACAGCCAAGGCTATTCAACGGCAGGTTTAGAAACAGGCGCCGTGACTCGAACTGGCTGCCTATCCTAGGGCAACCATTCCGGCTGCCGCCACAAGCAGCAAGGCAAAGCTGCTTGCACTGGGCGCGTTGCTGATCTCCTTTGCCTCGCACGTGTCCGCGTAAGTGGTGGAGCCGTCGGGCAGGGACATGTTCACAGCATCCTGGCACACAGAGTCCAGGCAGCCGCCAGTGGGCGCATCCTTCCACTTGCCCACCATGGCGCAGGTGATTCCTAGGTCTGCATACATGGACTCCACCAGATTCTTCACCTTGCAAGCGGCATCCGCCGTGAAAGACGTCTGCGACAAGTCGAAGATGGCATCCACCTGTTCCACGGCAGTTCGGTTCACCGTAGAGATGTACCCTGAGGCAGAGCGCCAGTACGCCCAGCCCTCAGCAAGATACTTCTCCTGAAAGCTACCATCACCGTAGGCCTTCCAGCCATACTTGATCGCGCTCCGGATCGCCGCGATAGACAAGATCTTGTACATGGCCAGTTGCGCCGCTTGCACGTTGGGGGCATTGTAGCTGCCGCGCACATTCATCAGGCCGAAATTCAGCAAGGGGATCGCTTCCGTGTGAGTGGAAATGCCATCAGGGAAGTCGCTGTCGCGCTTCCAGTTGAACTCATAAGGCGAGTAGAGGTTCCCCGGCGCGCTGCCGGTGTAACCGTCGCCGATGACAGCCGCAATGTTTCCCACATAGAAGGCAGCAGCCTCATCCCAGGCATACGCTGCGTTGGTGTCCTCCAGCTGGCCCTGCTCCGCCTTCCACACAGCGGCGCCCATCTCGTAGGTCACGTAAGCAGTGACAACGCCAATGAGTCCTTTGTTGATGATGTATTGCCGAAAGTCGTCGCTCTTCCCTGCACAGAAGCTGGCGTTATCCAGGCAGGCAATGATGGGGTCATGCCACACGGCGTTGATGGAGCCGTACAAGGCAAGAGCGCCGCTGTAGAAAACGTTGGTGTACTTGCCGCCGGAGGTCATATCCTTCTGGGCGAGGTCCTGCAGGGTGCGCATCTCCCCCAAACCTTTCGAGGAGAAGTTGCCGCTGGTGTACACATCCTTGGCCGCAGCGTAGTCGCCCGCGCTCAGCAGCTCCTTGATCAACTTCACGTCTCGGTTGACGTCGGCATGCTCCGTCACATCGTTCACAGGACAGTAAAGCCCATCCGAAAGCTTAGGGCAGGCGCCAGTGCAGGGACCTGCGGCAGCAAAGCTCACTTCCAAGGCCAACAAAACAAACAGCATCGTGGCGAAACACGGCGGAAAGCAACGCAAAACCACGAGACCTGGAAGCCAAACTCTGCGGAACTGGTGTTCTTGACTCTCTTTCTCTTCTTCCTCCTGCCTGCCTTGCCTTGCCTTGCCTTGCCTTGCCTTGCCTTGCCTTGCCTTGCCTTGCCTGCCTGCAGGCATGCCTGCTCCTGCCTGCCTGCCTGTGGGTGGATTGCCTGCCTGCCTGCCTCTGCTTGCCTGCCCTGCCCTGCCTGCCTCTGCCTGCCCGCCTGCCCGCCTGCCCACCTCCTGCCCTGCTTGCCCTGCGCTGCCCTGCCCTGCCTTTGTAGATTCTTTACGTTCGTTTGTTTTTCTTATCTTTCTGTCTGTATGTTTTTCTGTGTGTCTTGTCTATATTTGTGTCTTTCTTGTTGTCTGTTTCCTCCTTTGCTTTGTATTTGTTTTCATGTGTTTTTCTTTCTTTCAACCCCTCTTTCTCTCTTTGTTTTTTTGTGTATTTCTTTCTTTTCTTTGTTTCTTTCTTTCCTTCCTTCCTTCCTTCCTTTCTTTCTGTCTGTCCCCGGCCCGGCCCCACCGGCTGCCCTCGCCCCCTCCTAGACCCCCCCCCATCCCAGACCCCCCCCCCCCCCGGCCGCCCCTTCTGGTCCCCCTGGCCGCCCCCCCCCCGCCCCTGAGTCCCATTGCCGGGGGTATCTTATCCCAGTAAGGAACGGATACTTGCGGTAGTAGAGGATCGTGTTTGTGGTCCCTGGATTGATTCTTATCTGTGCATTTCTGCTGAGAGAATCCGCATTGGGCGGATGGCTTGAAGGTCCTCTTGATGCGTCCAAGATGGACAGGGTTGCCTTCGATGTTTTTCGGAACCGCAAAGGATCCCGTGTTGGCACAGATCTTCTGTTCAGCTGTCATGAATGACCAACGTGCTTCGTCAATGGCTCCGATACCACCGGCTGGATGCGCAGAGCGCACGGTTGGACCCAAGCGCCACTGCTCAGGACTTTGTTAATTACATGACCATAGGCAGGGGGTCGGTGTGGCCTGTGTTGTTCCCTATCGCCGCTTGGACACAAGCGCGCTCTAGTAAGTTGAAATGAAGCTGTCTGTCTATGTCAGTGAGCCGAAAGGTTGACACAAAGTAAAAATAGATCCTTTGATCGCGTAGTGTAACATTTGGTTAACTGAATTTCTTTGTGAAGGCCTGACGCCTGCCCGTGTCCCAGGTCCAACACATGTGTGTCTTCAGCCGTAAGTACTGGCGGCAAACTCACCTCCACATTGAAACGTTTGGATGAATCTGGGAATCTGAGGTGGGCTGGTGTTCCTTGCAGTGACACCATGCAGAGAAGGATGGCAGTGGTTCGCCCGATTTTGTGACCCCCGGACTCTTTGGCGTTTCGAACTTGAGATTGACTCAAGTGGCAAGTTAATCCATCTGGCAGCATGGCATAGCCAAACTTCAAGCACTGTGGCCTTTTCCTGCAACCCTTGTGACGTCTGAGGGTCCTCCCGGAGTTCTCAGTGTCATTGTCAGGTGTCATTTGACTTGTGGGCTGTCAAACGACGTGCGCCGCTTAAGCTCAGCCAGCAGTTTGCTTGCCAGCTGAGAACAGTGACAGTGTCATGCGGCTTCGCGTTTGGCACGAAATTTTGCTGCCCCCGGGCAATGAAATCATGCGACGCTGGAGCGCTGACTGTTCTGTGGCAATGGTGTCTGAAAGCTTGCGTTTTCAAGCCCGCCGCAAACCCAAATTGCCAGCGTTGTTCAGTCTCATGGCGTCGCTTGAGAAGTCGCCAAGTGTCAGAGGGCTGGTGACAGTGACTTGAGAGCTGATGATTCATGTGTGTTGCCAGGGACTGTCTTCTTCATGCGACGCAGTTGTAACCGCAGCCCATTTGCTGGATCAGCTGAAGGCGCTTGGTCAGGACTGCGCCGTTACCATGTCCTTGGAGCTTGGGATTGATGCCTTTGAGTGCATGCGCCTTTCCTGCTACCTTGGCATAGGGGGAGTGGTTGCAGACTCAACAGTAGCAGCTTTTGTGATTGGACTGCGGAATGCATGCCAGGAGGTGGTTTCTGGATTGGCCCAACAATTTGTTGTCGGGCGCCCGTCGACGCAACTTAGATGGTCAACCAACTCAATTTGTGGTTGGGAATCACAAAGTACCTGGATCTTCCACTGACACGACTTCTTCGAGGAGGAGCAGAAGATCACGCATTACGAGCACTGTCAAATGGCCGATACAGCACACCAGTCATGGCTCAGACGATCGCCGAGGCAGTCTTATTGACATCCATTCTCAAAGCATTGAGAGGCAGGGAGGTCGACATCGACAGGACAGCTCGCTCTCTCCACGCGGACAATGCGCCGGATAAGCGCAATGAGGCCATGCAGTTTATGGAGCCACTTGCACTCAAAATCGTAGATCTCATGGAGTCCTTGCAGCCCGCCAAGCAGGAGAACCTCACTCGCCACAAAATTGCCGAATTGGAACAACAGCTGGAGCGCTACAAGAACAAGGGCATCACTCTTACACCGGATAAGAAGCTGCCATCCTCGTCCCCTTCCAATGCCGCGTCCTGGACCCCCACGCCCGGCCGCTCTGATCAGTCCCTCTACATCAACGCGGCCAACTCGGATCAGCAAGGACCCCCCCTACCAGTTCCATCTCCAGAGGCTGATCCAGCCCCTAAGCGACGACCGGCAAAGCGAAAGACCCCGGCGGCTGCCCCGGATATCACTCTAGACTCAGAACTTCTACGTCAAGGAAACCCCAAAGGTCAACAGGCGCCACTTCCCACCAGCCTCATAGCTTGGCCGGTGTGAGAACTGCGCGCCAAAGGCAGGACAGAGCTTCCAGGGCACGGGTGCGCCTGGAGCAGGAGGCGCGTTGACCCCCCGTGAAACTACAAGGCAAGACAATGCGTGTCCTTGCAAATGCATGCAGTGCGTGCGTGGCGTGGCATGCGTGCCCACGCCCAACCAGCAGACCGGGGTCTGTGGTCAGGAAAGGGCAAGCTGCGGCTCTGCCCAAACCTGCATGATCCGGAGACCATGTAGTCCGGAGACCATGAGCGGTCCGGAGACCTAGTGGTCCGGAGACCGTGAGCGGTCCGGAGACCAAGTGGTCCCAAGACCATGAACGGAAGTGCAGATCGTCTGCGACTTCTCTTTTGCAGAGCCTTGTATAAGGCAGTGCAGGGTGGGTGGGTGGGTGGGTTTCAAATGAAACAGCAAGTTTGGGTCAAGGCTAGGAGCAAAATGGCCACCGCGTAGGTAGATTCACAACATGCCCTAAACACAAGGGAAAAGAAAACCCTAAGCGTTAAGGCATGTTGCACTGCTCCTAGCTTGAACCCAAACAAGACCACCCAAAACAACTACGCAAGTCCGAAGCGGCCGCAGTTCTTTTTACCGGGATTGCTGAAAGTAGCACTGCTTCCAGGGCACGGGTGCGCCTGGAGCAGGAGGTGCGTTGACCCCCCCTTCAGTGTTTCAGGCAACCCCGGTATAAGCCAGCTGGGCCGCCGGCCTCATCACCCCCCCTTTAGAGTGGGGTTGCACCTGGCAGGGTACATGTAAGCATGACATTGCACGCGCTTGGTTGTGAGCATCCTGTCGCTCAGGGTCTGCTCTTTTTTAGTCAAAGCGGCTTGATGTCAAGCTGCCGGCCGACGCAGCCAGGTATTCTGGTTGCCAGGGCGAGGTTGGCTATCGGGTCGCGATGCATGTTGGGATGCAATAAGGCTCGGCTACGCACTGCTGGAGATGTTCCGGGCGCCAGGGAGGCCCGCAGGGCTGAAGCGTACGCGACTCTCAGGGCGATGGCTGAATCTGGCCAACCGACCTCTGCTGAGGTCATCTGCCCAATCATTGCTCCTTCCCGGAACGTGTGTTGGCTGCAGCAGCACGTTGTGCGCGTGAGCCCAGAAGGCTGTTAACTGCACGAAGAGTTGCAACGGCCAGGAGGTTGTGAACATTTTGTTAAGGCTTGCTTCCGTTGCCGAATTGTCAGTGCCTGAAGGCATGCTGAACGAGTAGTGCCCACCACCAATATGGCTGTGGGTAGCTTGCAGCAGTGCCAACTGCGCCAGCGTCTCGAAGCATGCGATGCACCGCTGTCCAGGCTTGGCAAGGCAAGGCCATACTGCCCGTATGTCCTGCATGTTCCAGGTTTCGGCAAACCAAACCACTTGTGAGGAAGCGATTGCCCAGCCCCCTATTCCTACCAAGTCGTCTTCGGCGCACGCATCCGCGGCTGCCAGCGCTTGCAGCTGGCGCGGCCGTGCCAAGGGCTGAACTGGCGAGCGCTGGAAGCACGAAGCCAGCCATGTAAGGCGCTGGCTTGACTTGGAAAGGCTAGTATAGGGGTTATATTAGGATCTGCGATACGTACCCACGTGGGTTTGCTTGTGCACACGCGGGATGTCCTGAGGGCAGTGTATGGCTCGGCCCGAAATTTCCAAACAAATTTTTTGAGCCCACTGCGATCCACAGGCTGGGAAGGCTATGGCTTGTTTTGAGATCCTTGTTCAAGGATGCTCTGAAGGCTGACCACATTTGAAATGATATCGAGTGCATTGAGCCTGGCGGGCTGTTAAGATCAGAGTATAGCGGCGCTAGCCAAGATCTCAGATGCAGCGCAATGCTGGTGGCCCAAATGAGCAGGCCTATGCGCTGTCAAGTGTTTTCGGAGTACCCGTTTGCTCCCTAGCAGTGCTTTGATCAAGGCGTCCAGCTTTGTCAGTTTAGCTGACATGAGCTGAATGGTGTCGTGGGAGAAGTTGATCTCCCAGCCACACCAAATAAGGCTGTCCTGGAACTGTGGAGCGCTGTCTCTTTTACCTGGTGCCCTTAAGCAGCTTGAGTCTCTCAAAAATACTTACCAAAGGAACCCTGAGCGCAAGCACTCCTTTTCAGAACACGGGGTAGAAAGGAAAGGTCCTTCTTAGAGAAAGGGGGGGACCCCCAAAAGGAGAAAAGGGTTCACACCCGGAAAGAGGGGGTCCCCAAGAAGGCGCCCCGAACCTAGACTGAAAGGTAAGCCACATGGTGTGGCAGGCGTAGCCA